AAATGTAAGTGCAGCCAGCGGCGGGGTATGCGGGGTGCTGGCTGCTCGCTCCCGGGGCGAGGGGCTGGGGACTGACGTGCAGGGAGGGGGCAGAGCGGTGGGCAAAGCTGTCGGTAACTCACCATGTTCATCCAGCTGTGACGCGGTCTTCTGCCTGCAGAAACCCGGCAAATATCCTCCAGTCCAGGACACGGGGAGGCTGTGCGTGCCCTGATGCCCAGGGAGCCCGGGCCGGCGATGCTCCCGCCTGCCCCTGTGCCTGTGCTGCTCTGCCCGCGCTGTACTAACACTGGGGCAGGACCGCCCAAGCACACCTTAAAACCCACAACAGGAGTTGTGAAACAGGAATTATGATTTGTATTGTAATATAACACCAGTCTATCAGCAGCACCGTCACCTGCAATGATCTCCCGAGCATCTGCCACTGGAGGGTGACTCACCTGCAGGGCTGCTTGTCACAAAATAGCTTATCAGGAATGAACTGACTGACAGAGCAGGATTTTTCCTGCTCCTCTCCTGACGATAAGAGGAACCACAGCCATCCCGCTCTTTGTATGTCTCTTCCGCGTTGCACCGGGTTGTTTTCTAAACAGAGGCTTTCGAAGGTGGAGGAGGAAAGGCAAAGAGTTTACGCATGAGGTTACCAGGCCATTATATGCTCCTGTGTCTCAGGGCACTCTGCGTGTCCCTGCGTGCCTGCCAGGTGTCCCTGGGAGCCCCGGAGTGAAGGGAAGCGAGCGGGTGCCCGTGGCAGGTTGCCATGCAGGCCGGGGGTGCAGGCAGGAGTCCGGCTGTGCGGGAGTAGCCGGTATCCTGGGCAGGTTGTATGAAGTCGTTGCTCCCTGGTGGGAGCGGAGCGCCCAGTCGCTGCCCAGCAATTGTAACAGCGGGCGCCCTGGCAAGCTGGGCAGCGCAGAGGTTTGAGCGTGGCCCCTCCAGACTCCCTTACCTGCCCTCTGGGACAAACCTCCCTCTTCCTCCTCGGCTTTTGTTCCTGCTGTGGTACAGCAGCGCTGTGGGCATGCTGACTGCCGGTTTCTACACCACTAGGATGTTCCTGGGCTGTTTATAGGGATTCACAGAGGCCTGCTATCCATGCGGATGCGCTGGGCTCGGTGCTGAGGCTGGGTCTGCAAGTGGGGCACCAGAGTGCGAGCTCAGGGATGGCCATGCCCTTTTCCCGCAACCCCCTGTCCCTTTGCAGAGCAGCTGCCCTGTGTTGGTTGAGCTCGTTCACGTTGCACCAGATGGGGCTGGCAGGGGTGGGTGGGGAGAGGGGCTCTTACAGCCCCTGAGCCCTGTTTTGGGAAAGTGCTGTGCCTGTAGGCAGGTGCTGAGGCTGCTCGTGGAGCTGTGCACGTCTCTGATGCAAAGCTGGGCTACGCGTCCAGGAATAATCACTCTCGCACGGAAAGCGGCTTGCTTTAGCCCGCTGCTGGCAGCACTGCCGGGCAGGGGGGGCATTTAGGTTTAGGCGTGCAGGGGCCGCTTACCCCGGCGGGGCGAAGGCCGGTGCAGGGAGCGGGCTGGGGTCAGGGAGTCTGCGGGCTGCAGTCGGCCCCGCTGGCAGCTGGCTGGAAAGCCTGGCCTTGTGCAGACTCATGCTGGAAGTGGTGGGTGTGCAGTATTTGCCGAGCAGCTAATTACCCTCTCCTCCTTTTGCAACCAAGCTTTCCCAACGGTCGGGGAGAGCTGCTTGTGGCCAGGTGTGTGCACTGTGCCAGCAGGGAGACTGCGGAGCATCCCGGACCTGCAGCTCCTCGGCCGGGAAGCCCTGCCATCACTGTGCCTGCTGCAGCAGGGACTCTGCCCGCTCTGGGGAGAGCGGGCAGCATAACCCGGTAGTCTGACCAGGATCCTGGCATCTGCATGTGGCTCTACAGGTAAGGGACACCCTCCCCACACTCACTGGTGAGGATCCAGCCCCCTCGGGAGGTGTGGGGACCTTGGCAGGCTGGAGTCTCAGCTCCTGTGATCCGTGTGCTGGCCTGAGACCATGGGATGGAGGGTGGGCAGGGGCAGCCGGCAGGTCCAGCCACGTGCTTTGGGCAGGAGGGTGCCCAGCGCTACTGTGGGAGCTTTCAGCTTGCAGACTGGTTTAAGGGGCTGCACACAGCAGCAGGGATCTGGGCAGAGAGCTTGCGTCCCTGGTATGCCACGGTAGGTCCTGGCTGGGTCAGCACAGGCAAATGGCTGTGTGGGCACCTGATGCAGCATGAGATGCAGCATGGTGGAGTGAGCTCTCCTATCCAGTCTGGACATGCCTGTCCCTTGTCAGGGAACAAACTGTGGCTTAAAAGCAAAAGCAGCTGAAGAGATGGGTGCTGCTGGGCCAGCAGGGATCGGGCAGAGGCTCTGGAGTGAGCTCAGTCCCATGCATCCAGCACCACCTGCACAGCTGCAGCCCTGTGCCATGCCACAGAGACCCCCTCGAGGCGTGGGCTGCCTTCCCAGAGCATCCCAGAGCCAGCCCCACACACCCCATGGCCAGGCCTGGCCCCGCTGCCATGGAAGGGAGAGCAGCCCAGGAGCATCCGCGGGGCGGGAGGCGGCAGGGCGGGGAGCGGCTCTTCCTCCTTTGAGGTTAAGTGAAGGCTTTGAGGAAGCAGCTGAGGTTTGCAGATGTTATGTCACGGCTCCACGTGCCTTCGGGGCTTTGCTTCCTGGAGTGCGGCTGTGTTTCCAGCCCGTCACCCTTTCCTGGCCTCTTGCACGCAGAGCTCTGGCATGACGCAGGCTTCCGGGCACCCCGGCTCCGTCTAGGGTCAGGCAGGGGCCAGGCAGGGCTGGCCCAGGGCTCTGCGCAGCTGCCAGCCTCCCTGAGCCACAGGGACATGCACCCTGTCCCTTTCCTCTCCGCTGCCCGGTGAGGAGCAGTCTCGGTCTCCCTGTGCAAGCTGGGCGCTGCCAGGGCCTCGGGGTCTGCAGTGTGCATCATCCCCTTTGTATCCCGCCAGCTCTGCATCCCGCCCTTCCCCAGCCAGCGTCCCCGCGTGTCCCAGGCATCGCCCCTGGGTCTTGGTGCCGAGATGCTTGCTCCTGGGGAGGGCTGCTCGGGGGCTTGGCTCCTGCCCTGGCCACTTGTGTTGGGGCATGGCACAGTCAGAGGCTGTGCCTGGCAAAGTGAGCACAAAGAGGAGGTTTCCAAGGGGAGAGGGATTTTGCCCCTGGCTGCCCGGTTTCCAAGCTGTTCATGGTTATCCCTGTTTGCTGCCTTCTACCTGCAGCCACGGGAGATGGTTTCCCCCTCTTTCTGCAAGCAGGCGGTGATTGCCACCTAGCCCTGTGGCTCGGGGCTTTGAGAAGACGATCGAATACAGCCGTAAGTGCCATCGCGCCGGGAGATGTCTGTGGCTGGGAGCAGCGGGTGGGGGACGCCCTGTCACCCTGGGGTCCTGCCCTCCCCGTGGGTGCCCTTGCCCTGCGCAGGGCCATAACCTTTGTGGGCATCCCCAAACGCCCAAGCCCGGGCTCATTGTGGGACCCTGCCCCCCTCCCGGCTGCTGCTCTTTGCCAGGAGGTGGCAGTCGGAGGACACGGCCACTCGGGCACCTTGCCAGGGCTGGACACCCCTGTGTCCAGCACATCCCTGCCCCTTGGGCTCCCAGCACTACCAGTTCAGCCTCTGCCAGGGTGCCTGTCCCTACCAGCAGCAGGAGGGCAGAGCTGCCCGCATGGACAAGCATCGTGCCTATCCTGTGCGGGTGGGGAGGCTGGGCTGGGCTAGGAGCAGCCATCCTGGGCCGGGGCACAGGCGATGTACCGTCCATCGCATGAGCGGGCGGCGAAGCGGCTGTGTCACCGAGAGAGGAGGGGACGGGCAGGACGTGCCAGGCTCCAGCGCATACTGGGTTCTGCTGCAGCAGCTCCAGCCTGGGCTAGCCGTGAGCAGCTCCTGCGGCACGGTGCTGGGCGCCAGGAGATGGACCCCCAGGCAGGTTAGTAGGTGGCATTTTTCTCTCCTTATGGAGCAGAGATGAGGATGTTTTATGGCACACCTGGTGGCTTGGTAACCTTCCCCTCCCCTCTGCTGTCTGTGGATCTGGGGCTTGGCTGCTGCTGTGGCTCTGCCTCGAGCCGTGCTGCTTGGCGACGTCTCGCTGGGACACAAGGACGTCTGCTCCCGAGAGTGTTGGAGCAGGGGGTGCCTCCCATGCATGACATGGGGCCGGGGCTGGGCATGAAGACGTCATCCTCCCACCGGTGGTAGGCGTGGAGAGAGGGCAGTTTCGGCAGCCGGCTGATTCAGGGAGGCTATTGCACCATGCTCCTCCTGTCCCACAGCTCCTGCTGCATGAGTCACTCCTGCAGCAGACTCCCTGACCTCAACCACGCTGGCCCGTGCTGGGGCCTGGGATCCTGGGGCTCCCAGCTCACCCCTGGCCCAGTAGAAGCAGGGTGCGTTGTCTGCCCACGTATCCTGGCGTCCTGAGCCCTGCCGTGAGGGCCCAGCAGAAGGGAAGGGCAGGCTGGTCCTGCTCGTCTGCCGCGCAGCTTGGGAGCTGGCAGCGCGATGCTCTGCAGCTCCACGGGTATTTGCCGGATCCCGTCAGGTAGAGCAAGTGCTGCGGGTTGCTGGATGACCTGGGACCTTGCTCACTATGTAAACACTGTGACCACAGGGGAAATGTTCTCACTCTACCGGCATCTGTCTAAATTTAGCTGCTGTTAGGTCATCCTTTTCCGCTGCCTCCTCATTCTTGGTGCTGCAAGGCACAGCACCCTGTCTCTGTGCCAGGCGCTTGCCCCGAGCCCTCCATACAGGCAGGGGAGCGCTGCGGGGCTGACCATGCGCCGGGGCAGTGGGCAAACCCTGCTGTCCCCTCCCGGGCACAGCAGCCACAGCTGTGCCCACCACCACCCCACCTGCGCTTTGCTAATGGGCCACGCTGGGACCGACTGGGCAGCTTACCGGTCAGGGAGGCCCTGGGGGGTTGTGGGGGTGCTGGGTGCGGGCGGGCATGCAAGAGGCTGTGCTGCCTATGACATGGGCTCACGCTGGAGCCTGCTGTGACAGCGGAGAAGGGTCCGGATGGCGTTTGCGCGGGGGTTTGGGAGAGCAGGAGCTGGTAGCAGCTGGAGAGGTGTGATTCGGAGCGCTGTGCTGTACATTGTGTGAGATTTGCTCTGTGCAGCATGCGACCTCTCGTCAGCAAAGAAAGGGCTGCTCGTTGGCTGTGCTGTGCCTGGGCACCTTGGTGTCTCCTTGACAGTGCTGAGAGCATTGGCTGGCGCTGGGCTTCGCCAGACCCTGCGGTGTGGATGGGAGGGACGGAGGGGGTGCAGAGCTCCCCCAGAGGTCCTGCATGGCTCCATCATCGTCCCGTCCCAGCCCAGTGCTGGCAGCAGGAGGCTGCTCTCCCTGACAAATGCATCCTCTAGAGGGAACTGCCTGTCCAGAAATGGGTCTGCGCGGCT